CCAAAAGCGGGAGGAGCGTGGGGGTGGGGGGTTGCGCACATGTGTGGCCACACCCATAATTCAATGCACCCCGCTCCCCCAAACATGCGTGCATGCCCCCTCCGAGGCACTCCCCCTGCTTTTGGCACGCAATGGCACAGTGGGCCTGGTAGGCCTGTTTTCGCCCTCCCCAGGCTCCAAAGGCTTTCTAGGCGCTTGGGGAGGGCGAAAACAGCCTTCCCCAGACCCCTGGAGGCCCTCCGGAGGCCAGAAACAGCCCATTTCCCAACTTCTGGTGGGCCCGGAAGGCCTGAAAATCAGCTGGCCAGCACGTTGAAGCTGAGCTAGGGCAACGCTCACGTGCCCAAAGATACGGCTGTGTGTGCCACCTGTGGCACGCGTGCCATAGGTTCACCATCACGGTGAACCTATGATGGATGATCACTTAAATATGAGCCAGCCGTGTGCTGCAGCTGCCAAAAAAGCCAACACAATTCTAGGCTATATTAATGGAGGGATAGGCTCAAGATCATGTGAAATGTTAGTACCGCTTTATAATGCCTTGGTAAGACGATACGTGGAATATTGCATCCAGTTTGGTTGCCACGATGTAAAAAAGATGTTGAGACTCTAGATCGGGGTGTTAAACTCAATTTCATTGGGGGGCGCATCAGGGTTGTGTTTGAACTTGGGGGCCGTGGTGGGCATGGCCAGCTTGATGTCACTCGTGTCGGGGGCGCCTGTGGCGGCTCGAGCGCTCTGCCAGCAAATATGGGCTCCCGAACTCCGTTTTCAGCCACGACAGCCTCCTGCAGCCCTCTGCCAGCAAAAACAGAGCTTGGTGGGACTGTATGTGCCCCTCCCGGCCCCGTTTTCAGCTGTGATGGCCTCCTGCAGCCCTCTAGGAGCTCCGTTTTCGCTGGCAGAGGCACCGCAAGCCAGTCCTTCACTGTTTCCAGAGCGGCCCTGTAGGCCAAATCTCAGCACCCCATGGGCCAGATTCAGCCTGCAGGTCTTGAGTTTGACACCCCTGCTCTAGAAAGAGTGCAGAGAAGAGCAATAAAATGATCAGAGGACTGGAGGCTAAAACAAATGAAGAACGGTTGCAGGAACTGGGCATCGCTAGTCTACTGAAGAGAAGGATCAGGGGAGATATGATAGCAGTCTGCCAATATTTGAGGGGCTGCCACAGAGAGGAGGGGGGTCAAGCTATTTGCCAAGGCACCCAAAGACCAGACAAGGAATAATGGATGGAAACGGATCAAGGAGAGATTCAACCTAGAAATAAGGAGAAATTTTCTGACAGGGAGAACAATCAACCCATGGAACAGAAGTTGCCTTCAGAAGTTGTGGGAGCTCCATCACTGGAGGCTTTCAAGGGGAGATTGGAGTGCCATTTGTCAGAAATGGTGTAGGGTCTCCTGCTTGTGCGGGGGGTTGGACTAGATGACCTCCAAAGTCCCCTCCAATTCTGTTATGTTTGTGGAGGAGGATATGTTTTGGGAATTTAAGGTTGTGCACTCTGCTTTATTAGATCAACATTGGTGGTACATTTTATTTATTTTTCCCACCTTTACTACTTTATAAGTAACTCAAGGCAGCAAACATACATAATACTTCTGTTTTCCCCATAGCAACAATCCTCTGAGTTAAGTTGGGCTGAGAAAGAGTGATTGGCCCAAAGTCACCCAGCCAGCTTTCATGCCTAAAGCGGGACTAGAACTCACCGTCTCCTGGTGATTGGCCCAAAGTCACCCTTCCAGCTTTCATGCCTAAGGCGGGACTAGAATTCACATTCTCCTGGTGATTGGTCCAAAGTCACCCTGCCAGCTTTCATGCCTAAGGCGGGACTAGAACTCACCGTCTCCTGGTGATTGGCCCAAAGTTACCCAGCCGGCTTTCATGTCTAAGGCGGGTCTAGAATTCACCGTCTCCTGGTGATTGGCCCAAAGTCACCCTGCCAGCTTTCATGCCTAAGGCGGGACTAGAACTCACATTCTCCTGGTGATTAGCCCAAAGTTACCCAGCCGGCTTTCATGTCTAAGGCGGGACTAGAACTCACCGTCTTCTGGTGATTGGCCCAAAGTAACCCAGCCGGCTTTCATGCCTAAGGCAGGACTAGAACTCCCAGTCTCCTGGTTTCTAGCCTGGTACCTTAACCACTGGATCCCTAAATATCCCTAAATAGACGCTTCCAGAGAATTGCCACAAGAGACAAAGCAATAACTAGGAATTCTGTAATATTACCCACCGACTCTGACTCTTCTAACTATTGTGGAATATTTAAAATTCGGTGTCTTCTGGAAAGTTATAAGCTCTGAGGGGAGGCGGAGGCTTACTCCCGTACCCCAGCCATTCCACATCAGTCTGACTTTACACCTCACTTCTAATCCTGGTCAGTTAGCTGAAAAGGCAGATTACATTGGCATTGGCATTAGCAGGGCACAGCTATTGATTGGCGGCATAGAAGCCAACGCAGGAGAATGGATTCGTCCCTGTTTCTCAGTCTGAAAGTATGTTGGGATTACTGGCATTGGGAGAAGAAAGACGCCAACTGTTTCCATTGAGCGGATTCAGTCAAGAGGCAGCAAATGCTTTTGTGGCTAAGGCCAGCTCCCTGTTTGAGCACTGGGACAGCTGCAGACCCCCTCCCCACCCCTGCCCTTGTCTCGCCCATCCCCATCCTCTCAGCAAACAGCCGAGCATTTGGCATGCGTACGAGTTCCAGAAGGCAGCCTCGGAGCGAATGAAAGGAACAGTTGTTAGGCTGCCTTGTTGCACTTCCACAATTCCACTGTGTAGTTGACTTTTACTATAAAGCTGTGTTATAGCTATTGTCTACCTCAGCGGTCCCCAACCATTTTGGCTTGACGGCCCGGCCCGACAGGGTAGGGGGTAGGGGGTAGTTCATTGCGAGTGATAGGCAGGCAAGCGCAAGTATGCGCATCTCCATTTGCTCGTGGAAAGGGACTTTCAAATTTCAAATCTTTATTGTCAGTGCACAACATATGTACAATGAGATTAGTGGAGCTCCCTCCGTGCACACATACACACCCAACATAATACAACTCACAGTGAAGACAGAAAATCCCTAACCCAATAAATCATATTAACAAAACACCCAGTCATATTGCACCAGTGTGAACATGTTACACGTTGAGCCGGCCCTGCAATCTATCATACTACGTAGTGTTGCGCAAGAGCCTTGGTAGTACAGTGGTCTAAAGCACCCTGTTATTAAGACCAGCTGCCTGCAATTACTGCAGGTTCGAATCTCGCCAGGCTCAAGGTTGACTCAGCCTTCCATCCTTTCTAAGGTAGGTAAATTGAGGACCCAGTTTGTGGGGGCAATAAGCTGACTTTGTATAAATATACAAAAGTATGAAGGCTATTGCTTAATGCATTGTAAGCCGGCCTGAGTCTCCGGAGAAGGGCAGCATATAAATCAAATTAAAAAAAAAAAGTCACTGCCACTCACACGAGGGGAGTTTTGCGTGCATGCCACATGCTCAGTTCCAAACATAGTGTGGCCCAGTAGTGGGCCGCAGCCTGGGAGTTGTGGACTCCAGGTTTACCTCTATGTGCCTGTTGATGGTTGCTTGCCTGAGTGCCAACCTATTAATGCCATCAATTATGAAGTCTCCCCTATTGAGAAAAAGATATTTTAGAAATCTATGGTGGTAGATTCTATAATGAGTATAATGAGTACATATAATGAGTATAATGATTATAATGAGTACATATAATGATTCTATATGTTTTAGAAATACAGGGCATTGTCCTCTCATATCACACATGGTGCAACTCCTCAACTTATGACCACAGTTGAGCCCAACGCTAAGTGAGACATTTGAATGAGTTCTGCCCCATTGTATGATCTTTCTTGCCAATGTTGTTAAGTGAATAACAACACCAGACAAATGCAACAACAAATGCAGTTCTTAAGTCAGTAACCCGGTTGTTAAATGAATCTGGCTTCCACACTGACTTTTCCTGTCAGAAGGTCGCAAAAGCTGATCGCATGACTGCAGGACACTGCAATCGTCATAAATATGAGTCAGTTGCCAAGCGTCTGAATTTTGATCACGTGACCATGGGGATGCTGCAATGGTCAAGTGTGAAAAACGGTCGTAAGTCATTTTTTTCATTGCTGTTGTAATTCACTATCTCCTGGTGATTTGCCCAAAGTCACCCAGCTGGCTTTCATGCCTAAGGCGGGACTAGAACTCACCATCTCCTGGTGATTGGCCCAAAGTCAGCAAGCCAGCTTTCTTGCCTAAGACACCACTAGAACTCACTGTCTCCTGGTGATTGGTCCAAAGTCACTCAGTCAGGTTTCCTGCCTGAGGCGGGACTAGAACTCACCCTCTCCTGGTGATTGGCCCAAAGTCACCCAGCCGGCTTTCATGCCTAAGACAGCACTAGAACTCACTGTCTCCTGGTGATTGGTCCAAAGTCACTCAGTCAAGTTTCCTGCCTGAGGCGGGACTAGAACTCACCATCTCCTGGTGATTGGTTCAAAGTCACCCAGCCAGCTTTCATGTCTAAGGTGGGAACTGACCCAGGCACACGGCAATTGTCATAAATATGAGTCAGTTGCCACATGTCTGAATTTTGATCACGTACATGACCATGGGGATCTTCATGTTGCAATGGTCGTAAGTGTGAAAAACGATCATAAGTCACTTTTTCCACTGCTGTTGTAACTCACCACCTCCTGGTGATTCGCCCAAAGTCACCCAGCCAGCTTTCATGCCTAAGGCGGGACTAGAACTGACCATCTCCTGGTGATTCAAATGGTCATTAAACAAACTATTGTAAGTCGAGGAATGCCTGCACATACATCTATCTCAGCAGTTCTGTTGATCTCATGAAACCTGTTGTGGTTGGTTAGTTTTGCTTTAATTTAAGCTTAGCAAAGATCTCCAAAGTGTTTTGAAAGCTTTGGAAGACCCAGATTCCATCTGCAACAGGCAACATGTAAACGGAAAGCTTGATTTTCAAAAAATGAACCACAACTGTGTTCTTCATAGGTCTTTATTTCTTGGAAAATGAAGCGCATTCATAAGACAGCACAGCAAAGAAACGGATCTTGAGGTGAGATGGGCAAGAAAGAGGGTGAAAATTTAAGGAGTCCAAGTGTCAAAAAAAATGGATAAAAGGAATGCACAAATTCCAGAAAAAACAAGAGAATAACAGAGTTGGAACTTGGAAGGGACCTTGGAGGTCTTCTAGTCCAACCCCCTGCTTAGAACATCGTGTCAAATTGTTTGGGACAACCAATTCTATTCGAGCAGAGAACAAGACCAAAAGGGAGACAGTTTCTCCTCAGGGAAATGTCACCGATTTGATTCTGAAGTCTCCATCCACTCCAAGATAATCAATCAGATTAAGGTCCAGCCGGTTGGGGAAGATAATTTCTCCACTCCCTTCCGTTTTCACTCGGATGTCCTTGTCCGTAAAACTGAAGGTGATCTGGAAGACATCACAACAAAAGAAAACCAAGATTGAGGGTGGACATCAAAGTCTCTTTGGTGATCTTAGGCTCTGAATGCTTATCAAAGTTATGTTTTACACTATGAAGAAAGAGCATTAGGTTCTAATCCAGGGTTAACTTTGAAGTAGAATAGACCTTACATGGTACAGTTAGGGAAGTTCCTCCTTAAATGCATTAACCTTCCTCTTTATACAGCAGGGGTCAGCAACCTGCGGCTCTGGAGCCGCATGTGGCTCTTTCATCCCTCAGCTCAGGGGTGAAATGCTCCCAGTTCAGACTGGATCGCCCGATCCGGTAGCGATGGCAGCGGGTGGTTCGGAGAACCGGTAGCAAAAATCCCTGCCGCTCCCCCCCATGCCCAGCTGAACCGTATGATCATCAGAGGCTTTTTTTTAATTTTTAAAAGCATTTTTTCTACAACCTCTTCAGCCAAAAAAATGCTTTTAAAAGTAAAAAAAAAAAAAAGCCTCTGAGGATCGCGCGGCTCAGCTGGGATCGTCAGAGGCTTTTAAAAGCATTTTTTTTCTACAACCTCAGAGATTGTAGGAAAAAATGCTTTAAAAAATTTTTTTTTTAAAGTTGGCCACGCCCACTCAGTCACATTAAATCCCCCCCCCAGCAAGCCACGCCCACAGAACCGGTAGTAACAAATTTTACATTTCACCACTGACTCAGCAGCGGCTCCCTGTTGTTGGTCGGCTCCACAATTGATAGGGCTTTCAGTTAGGACAGGTAGAAGAAAAAGGACGCCATGCTAGGAGGAGACTCTATGGTGGAGGAACCAGACTTCTGGTTGGCTCCAGAATTGAACGGGGGCTTCCGGTTGAGGTAAATATAGCAAATAAAGAATAATGTAGATAAAAGAAATTTATTTGATTTGATTTGATTTGATTTCCAGACCGCCCTACTCCCGAAGGACTCAGGGCGGTGCACAGCCAAACAATAAAACACATACATACAAAATTTAAAAGTGGAATTAAAATCAAATTAAATAGTTTTGGCCCAAACAAATTAAAACCCCAATCAATAATGTGAATAAAATAGGAATCATACAGAGTCAGATATATGAGCTCTGGGGGACCCTTTCTATTCATATTATTATAAGGGGAAGACGTGCTTGGATACATGAATTCTGAGAGACCCTCTCTATTCACATTATTATAAGAGAGGAAAGTGCTTGTTGGAAATTACATTAACAAACAGTTAAACCCCTTTAAGTGGTAATGTATCTTCTGAGACCTAGATGTCACGGAAAGGACTGCCATATGGAAAAACATCTGAGTGACCTCACTGTGAATGACACAAAGACCTATATGTTACAAAGAGTTACTTAATCCAATAAATTTACCCAAGGACAGTAGTAACTCTCCCATTAGCAACTCCGAGTACTTAAGAAAAGTTGTGCGGCTAAGATAATTTTGTAAACTAAGATTAATGCTTTAAGTAATTAGATGAACTTATTATCCAGTGTATGTAACCATATAAGGAAAATCGGATGTATGATCTCATGATTAACCATATATGGAAAATGTATGATCTCACTGAATCCTTTGTCTTAGAAATGTATAAAAACCATTGTATCAGAGTTCTTTGGTTGTTCAAAGCTTCAGGTACAAATCTGGCTCTGAACCTTGCGCAATAAAGCTGTCTCTGACTGACCTGGGAATGTTTTTTAGTCCTTACATTCCACAACACGGTTAGGACCTTTGTGGCTCTTGGAGCGTTTAAGGTTGCCGACCCCTCCTCCAGAGCGTCACAAAGATACAACTTCTGCTCTAGTGACCCTCTGCCCCCCTCTTTGTGTCTCATGTCCTGCCAATAAGTCCTCACCTCAACCTCACAATTGTGATGAAAAGGGAAGTCAGGTGGTCTTTCCTCGGCCTCCCAGGCACTGCCTCGCCTGGAGTTACACACCACAGTGTTCACATCGCCCTTGCAGTCAAAACGTGCGTTGTAATGGAGCACCAGGTTATCACAGTCTTTACCCAGGTTGATCTCGAATCTGAGGGTGGAATTACAAGCGTGAGAGAAGCCAGAACACAATGGGGAGTTTCAGAGGGAGGGGAAGGGATAAGAAGGAACTCGGAAGGGAGGGAGGGGGAGAGGAAGGAAGGAATACAGGTGAGGGAGCCAGCAAGCAAGGGAGGGAGGGAGGGAGGGAGGGAGGGAGGGAGGGAGGGAGGGAAATTCAGGGAAGGGAGGGAGGGAGGGATGAAATACAGGGAAGGGAGGGAGGGAGGGAGGAGAATTCAGGGAAGGAAAGGAGGGAGGGACAAAATACAGGGAAAGATGGAAGGAAGGAAGGAAGGAAGGAAAGGGAATTCAGGGAAGGGAGGGAGGGAGGAGGGAGAGGAATTTAGGAGAGGGAGGGAGGGATGAAATACAGGGAAGGAAGGGAGGGAGGGGAATTCAGGGAAGGAAAGGAGGGAGGGAGGGAACGAATACAGTGAAAGAGTGAAAGAAGGAAGAAGGAAGGAAGGAAGGAAGGAAAGGAAGGAAGGAAGGAAGGAAGGAAGGAAGGAAGGAAGGAAGGAAGGGGAATTCAGGGAAGGAATGGAGGGAGGGAGGGAGGGAGAGGAATTTAGGGAAGGGAGGGATGAAATACAGGGAAGGGAGGGAGGGAGGGACGAAATACAGGGAAGGGAGGGAGGGAGGGGAATTCAGGGAAGGAAAGGAGGGAGGGAGGGAGGGACGAAATACAGGGAAAGAAGGAAGGAGAATACAGGGGAGGGAGGAAGGGAACGAAGGAAGGAAGGAAGGAAGGAAGGAAGGAAGGAAGGAAGGAAGGAAGGAAGGAAATGTTTTAAATCAGACCATGAATGGGCAGGGATATCTCTTCTTAGGAAAACCAAAAGGAAGGAACAGCCCACTTCCAGGCACTGAAAAGTTATTTTGGTAAAGGTTTTCTATCTCCTAATCTTCCCCAGCTAAAAAAAGGATATGAAGAAGATTAATGGCCGTAAGAGAAACCATTTTTGCAAGGAACTGTCTGGAGAGCATCTGGAAAACTTCTTTGGATTTGGGCGTGTGGGGGCATAGCTGCTCTCTGATGAAGAGCAAGGACATTTGCTGAGGAATTTTTAAACAAAATTAGGGCAGACCGTACAGTACAGCCTTAAGGCCATTGACTCCCCCTTTAAAGTTTGAACAGCTCCTCCAAAATTCACTCTCATGCAGCCATCCTGTTTAACTCACAAAAATTGGAAATCATCACCACAGGTTAAGAGAGTTATGTTAGTCTATGTCAGGACTTTTCAACCTTGGTAACTTTAAAAAGTGTGGACTTTAACTCCCAGAATTCCCCAGCCAGCCAGTAACCAAAGTTGAAAAACACTGTTCTATGCTGTTTAAAAAAAATCAGGAGACAGCTCCTTCTCTAACTCCAGATTTTATTAACAGGCATAAACATTTTTAAGCTGCAGCTCGCAAAATTTTAGGCCCGTTAATAAAAATTGTCATTTGGAAAAAGAGTTACCGGATACGTTGCATAAACTGTGATAGATTTAACTGCAAATGATATAGAGATAGATGATGACATACAGATGGATGAATAGATGGAGAGAAAGAGAGGATAGATGATAGACAGATAGGGATGGATAGATAGATAGATAGATAGATAGATAGATAGATAGATAGATAGATAGATAGATAGTTGATAGATAGATAGAGATAAATATAGAGATAGATAGAGGTAGATAGATTATAGATATAGATATAAATATAAATATAGAGAATAGAATAGAATAGAATAGAATAGAATAGAATAGAATAGAATAGAATAGAATAGAATAGAATAGAATAGTTTATTGGCCAAGTGTGATTGGACACACAAGGAATTTGTCTTCGGTGCATAAGCTCTCAGTGTACATAAAAGATATCAGTGATAAATCATGATCAAAGTCATCCTAAAAATACATTCATCATAAATCATAAGTTACAACACCTGGTGCTAGTCATAGGATACTAAGTAAGCAATCAACATAAATCATACTAAGAAATTAAATAAAAGAATATAAATCGTAAAGATACAAGCAACAAAGTTATAGTCATAAGTAGAAAAGGAGATAGATAACAGGAAGGATGAGAATAATAGTAACAGCCTTACTAAATAGTTTTGACAGTGTTGGGGGAATTCAACTGTAATGTTCATTGTGACTCCTTTTTACTTCTGGGAATTGAAGGGAAGCCCAAATAGCCCTCTCCCTCCTCCACCTCCCCATTCCATGAAACTTTGTCCCAATTCCTCCTCTTACTCTTTGGAGTCTGGTAAAATTGTCCCTTTCACGACGAGTGATTCTCCAGGATAAAGCTTAAACTGTGTAGCGGTCACTCCCTAGGAAAATAAAAAAAAAGATGGACATTTTAAACGGCATGGTAGGGCTGATAAAAGAGTTTTGAACGTGGGCTCCTCCATCAGACCATTCAAAGGGAATTTGGGGTTACAGGATTTCTCATTTGAGACAGCAGCTAATTTTAGGTTAATCAGTCAGCCTGTTTTAGAAGACTTGTTTTAGAAGAGATAGACAATTTCGGGTTGATCGGTCATCTTGTTTAACAGATTAACACAATTGGAAGGGACCTTGTAGGTCATCTAGTCCAACCCCCAACCCAAGCAGGAGACCCTACCCCATTTCTGACAAATGGCAGTTCACTCTCTTCTTGAAAGTTTCAAGCGATGAAGCTCCCATAACTTCCGAAGGCAACTTCCATTCCATAGGTTGATTGTTCTCACTGTCAGGAAGTTTCTCCTTATTTCCAGGTTGAATCTCTCCTTGTTTAGTTTCCATCCATTATTCCTTGTCTGGCCTTGGAAAATAGCTTGACCCCCTCCTCTCTGTGGCAGCCCCTCAAATATTGGAACACTGCTTATCATGTCTCCCCTGGTCCTTCTCTTCACATGCCCAGTTCCTGCAACCCTTCCTTGTATGTTTGAACCTCCAGTCCCCTAATCGTCTTTGTTGCTCTTCTCTGCACTCTTTCTAGAGTCTCCACATCTTTTTTACATCGTGGCGACCAGAACTGGATGCAGTACTCTAGGTGTGGTCTTACTAAGGCTTTATATAGAGTGGTATTAGTACCTCCCTTGATCTTGATTGTATCCCACTGTTAATGTAATTTAGGATTGCATTGGCTTTTTTGGCTGCCGCCTCACACTGCTGGCTCATATTGAAGTGGTTGTCCACTAAGACTCTCAAGATCCCTCTCAGAGTTACTGCTATTAAGCCTGATTTCACCCAGTCTATTTTAGAAGAGACAGAGAGATAAACTGGCAGATAGATGATAGATAGATAGATAGATAGATAGATAGATAGATAGATAGATAGATAGATATAGATAGAAGATAGATAGATAGATAGATAGATAGATAGATAGATAGATAGATAGATGGATGGATGGATGGATGGATGGATGGATGGATGGATGGATGGATGGATGGATGGATGGATAGATAGATAGATAGATAGATAGATAGATAGATAGATAGATAATAGATAGATAGATAGATGATAGATAGATAGAAGATAGATAGATAGATGATAGATAGATAGATAGATAGATGATAGATATAGATAGAAGATAGATAGATAGATGATAGATAGATAGATATAGATAGATAGATGATAGATAGATAGAAGATAGATAGATAGATGATAAATAGATAGATAGATAGATAGATAGATAGATAGATAGATGATAGATAGCTAGATGAATGATAGATAAATAGATAAATAGATAAATAGATAAATAGATATAGACAGAAGCTAGGTGTAAGGTCTCTTTCCCAGTCAAATCTGAAATGTGAAAGAGGCACAGAGTCACATAACAACATCGAAAAGAAGTGGGCCCACAATGGACTTGTTGATGATCTGGAATCAAGTAATCCCCAACCCCGCGACATCATCTCAAGTCCATTCTTCACATAGAACCCGGTATCCTGGCTTAATATGGAAAGCACCGCTTCTGCACAAGAAGCCTTAAGCCATCTTCAGGCTACCTTAGCAGTAGGCTAATGATGCGAGAGATGTAGCTCAATTGTGGTCATAAGTCAAGGTATTTGTATTTGTATTTTTGTATTTTATTATCTTCTCCAGTTCTCTTCTCTTCTGTCGACTCCAGATATACTGCCGCATACCTTATCCAGACTTTTTGCTCTTTCTGATCAGATTGTTACGTGATGCGTATTACTTGAGAAGAAAAATTAAGGCTGTTCTTTAATAAAGGCCTACTTACTTGCACTATCGTGTTTACTAAGGGCCGAAGGGTCTGCAATAAAACCAGTATTAATCTGTGTGCTGGGATTGTGACCTTCAAGTATGTTGAAATTGCGCTTTTAACCCTGGCAGTTGCTTAACTTGCAAGATGTGGCGAGTTTGGGTCATGGGAAAAGGGGAACTATATGCTTGGAACACATGTAAAAATAACCATGTTGTAACATTGAGGTTAAAGGAACCGAAAATGGCCCCAGTTGCTATGGCACGTTGGCAGAATCCTGAAAGTATTGTGCTTTGTGGTTTTGGCAATAGCAATAGCACTTAGACTTATATACCGCTTTACAGTGCTTTACAGCCCTCTCCAAGCGGTTTACAGAGTCAGCCTATTTCCCCCAACAATCTGGGTCCTCATTTTACCCACCTCGGAAGGATGGAAGGCTGAGTCAACCGTGAGCCTGGTGATATTCGAACTGCCAAATTGCAGGCAGCCAGCAGTCAGCAGAAGTAGCCTGCAGTACTGCCCTCTAACCACTGTGCCACCGTGGCTCCTAAGATATTTTAAGGTATATAATGTAATGTTGGACAGTGGCTCGGGGCCAATTGGCCACAAGCTGTCCCTTTGGACTGCTTGTCCGATTGACCCTCATTGTAATGGAATGTACAGTAGTGGCCAAAATTGTGGAAATCTTTTGGGAAAAGTGTATTTTTGAGGTTTGATGGCTAATAACACCACTTTTTTGGGGGGGAGTTTCAAGATAATCCTATTCCACTGCTGGAATGGCCTGGGAGTAGCCCAGACCTTAACCCAATTGAAAATCTATGGAACTGAGTAAAGAAACTTGTTAGTCAGAAGCGACCCAGCAATAAAACCCAGTTAATAGAAGCCATCATTCAATCTTGGTTTCACATGAGAACAGCTGCAGAACTCAAAGACTTGGTTCACTCCATGGGAAGACGTTGTAAGGCCGTCATTCACCCTAAAGGTTACCCAACTAAGTATTAACTGACACGGTGATCATTTTTGTATATCTCGTTTTTTCACTTTTCTTCTTTATACTGTAACTGCTATTCTAATAGCAAATCCTTCATAAAAGGTATTGCATTACATTCTTGATTAAATTATCTTTCCATGGATATAAAATTTTAGGCTACTACTCCCCCCCAAAAAAGTGGTATTATTAGCTAGTTTTAGAAAATACATTACCCCCTAATCACGCCTACCCAGCCGGTCATTAGGGCGGAGAACCGGTTATTAAAAAACACGGGGAACCACAAAACCCTTTTGACATCTCTCCCTCTCTCCCTCCTTCTCCCCCTCTCTCTGTATCTCTCTGTCTCTGCTCCGGCTGCTTCTCCGTTCCCCGCTGTCGCCTTTATCGTCTCAGGCCAGGCGAGGAGTGACTGGGAGGGAAGGGTGAGGGGTGGGGCCAGCCCAGTGGTGGGATCACCCGACAAGGAGCCACAGCACAGGGCCCAAAGAGCCGCATGTAGCTCCGGAGCCGCAGGTTGCTGACACCTGGATTAAGTGGTGGAAATATTTAGGACTTGGTCCCAGAATGGCTGATTAATGCTGTGAATATTAAAAGCAAAAGGCCATCTATATAATCCAGATTAAAGGACGAAGTCAGAATGTTCTCTTTCTCAAGCTAAAGTTTGTAGAAAAACCTTTATAATAACTAACTTCTATCTTCAGTTAGAGCGCGAGCGCACAAAAATAAATCTGCACCTATCAAGCATCTGTTTAATCGCACGTGCATAAGCTGTACAATGCGCTCAAGATGTTTCTTGTCGAAAAAGAGTTTACATATTACAAACAATCTGGGTTGTTTTAAACGGATAGCCAAAATTATTTAATGTTTTTAAACTGCTTTTAAATTTTATATGTTATGTTTTACCATGGCTGTTCACCGCCCTGAGTCCTGTTGGGGAAGGGCGGTATACAAATTACATAAATAAATAATATTGATAAAACTCGTATTAACAACAGAAGGCAGCCCAATTAATAAGCACACAGTATGGGGTATTTATTTCCCCCTTCTCAAAAAAAAAAAAAAAACAGCAGAAACAATTAAAGAGATGCATCCAAGCAATTTAAGGAAGCGGATTCTGATCTTCAAACCCAAATGCCAAAATAAACGAGGCAGTTTTTAAAATGTAGTAAGAGTCTTTGTAATTTTTTTTTTTTTGCTGCAAAAAATTAAAGCGGCTGTGTCCCTCAAGCAATACCCCGAAAGAGGAAAAGCCACACTTGTGGCTGTCAATCAACAACCAATCAATTCCTCTGCAAGAGAACCATTCTACATCTTAAAAGCCTATGCTGGGAATTTTGATTAAAAAAGCAAAGACCCCAGAACTTACACATTTACTCATGGTGCAGCCTTGTCCAGCCCCGAGTTGGTACAGTACTTTTAACTGCAGTCTCAGCTCTGTGGCTTAAGCGAAGTTCCCCTTGTCCTTTAAATAGCTGAAGGAAGGAGCATCACGTGATGCAAAAGATTGAATGAAGGGTAGGGTCAGATAACCAGAAATGGAAGCAGGAGCTGATGAACCGAAGCAGCTGCTACACCCAATTCTAACAGTGTGGGGGTTTTGAGTGAGTAGGGCAGGGAATATTAGCAGCCCCTTGGCAAGCCTTGGTTAAAAGGATTGCTTTATGGAACCCTGGACTAGATTTTGGAAGCTGACAGGAACTATTACGTATTCTTATTCTTGGTATTAATGCCGGAGGGGCATAATGATGAGAGTTTCAGAAATTTTATGCGTATAAATTTAGCAGAGGAAGGAGGAGGAGAAAAGGAGGAGAAGAAGAGAAAAGGAGGAGGAGGAGGAGAGGAGGAGGAGAAGGAGAAAGAAGAAAGAAAGAGAGAGAGAGAGAGAGAGAGAAAGAAAGAAAGAAAGAAAAAGAAAGAAAGAAAGAAAGAAAGAAAGAAAGAAAGAAAGAAAGAAAGAAAGAAAGAAAGAGAAAGTAGTAACAGTAACATAGTTGGAAGGGACCTTAGAGGTCATCTAGTCCAACCCCCTGCTCACACAGGAAACCTATACTAGGGATTCGAACCACCAACCTTTCTGATCGACAAGCTCAGCGTCTTAGCCACTGAGCCACCTAGGGAGAAAGAGAAAGAAAGAAAGAAAGAAAGAAGAGAAAGAGAAAGAGAAAAAGAAAGAGAGAGCAAAAGAAAGAAAACGAAAGAGAAAAAGAAAGAGAAAAAAGAAAGGAAGAAGAAAGAGAAAAGAGAAAGAGAAAGAAAGAAAGAAAGAGAAAGAGAAAGAGAAAAAGAAAGAGAAAGAGAAAAAAGAAAGGAAGGAAGAAGAAGGAAGGAAGGAAGGAAGAAGAAAGAGAAAGAAAGAAAGAAAGAAAAAGAAAGAAAGAAAGAAAGAAAGAAAGAAAGAAAGAAAGAAAGAAAGAAAGAAAAAAAAATTACTACTGCTACAACAACTGTAGGCTACAGAATCTATCAACCATTTAAATTTTAAAAAATCTTTGAGTACTCCATGATGGATATTTTCTATTTTTCTATGTCCATTTTTCTGTTTTTGAATTTCTATTAAACAATCCCAAGTAGAAACAGATTACAAATTCAACCAATGCTGGGAGAGATGCATATTTTAATTGTTTAAGATGATCGAACCGGAAAGTACTATATCCCTAATAGTCAAAGGCTGTACTGGGGTATTAATGCCAGAACAGTTTTCATCTTACACCTTGGAAGATTGAATCCATCTGTATCCGGTACAGAAAACATGAATTACACACTACTCTTAAAATAGAGGTAGACACCAAAGACTGGGCAAAATCAAATTTTCTCCAGTTGCAGCCCATGTAGCATTAATTAAAGCAGATATTCATCCAAGATCCTTCTCTCTGCCTTTGACATCATGTTTTTCAGAGTCAAGATTTTGAGCAGACAAGATTCGTTATCTACAAGCGCAAATGAAGAAAAAAAAGAGAATAATATCTTCGATGTTTGATCAAAGCAGAAAAAGAGAACTGTAAGACTCGTTTTGTTTGGGGAAGAAAATCTTTGAATGGGACTCTGTTTTAGCCAAGGCACAAGCTTGACGGTTACAGGATACAGATCGATGTTCAAGATAGATGGTTAAAATATATATCTCTCTCTCTTAGAAAAGCTGCCATTTATCTTATCAAGCAAAAATACTTCTCCTCCTTCCTCTTCTTAATTTATCTGCATAAAATTTCTGAAACTCTACTATTTACGAAAAGCAGAAATCAAATGCGTCATTTCACTATCCGAAATCAATGTCAAACAGTGGATATTTATTGTAAGATTCTCAAACCTCAATATAACTGAAATGTTTGCAGAAATTCCCTGTTTCCCCGAAAATAAGACCCAACCGGAAAATAAGGCCTAGCATGATTTTTCAGGATGCTCATAATATAAGCCCTACTCCCAAAAAATAAGCCCCAGTTAAGATCGTCAGCAGACGGAGGCATTTAGTACTGTATTTCCCCTAAAATAAGACCTAACCGGAAAATAAGCCATAATGCGCCTTTTGGAGCAAAAATTAATATAAGACACAGTCTTATTTTGGGGGAAACACAATAGGTAACTGCTCATCTCAGGCATACAAGCAAATCCAACCTTTCCAGGCCTTCTGAGAATTTGCATTCCCTCAACTTAGATTAATTGCCAGTATCTAGTAATAAATCAGGTTTATTTATAATAAATCAGAGAGAGGAAGCAAGGAAGGGAGAGAGGGAGAGGGAGAGGGAGAGAAAGAAGGAAGGAAAGGAGGGAGGGAGGGAGGAAGGAAGGAAGAAAGAGAGAGAGAAAGAAAGAAAGAAAGAAAGAAAGAAAGAAAGAAAGAAAGAAAGAAAGAAAGAAAGATAGATAGATTATGTCATGCCCCTGTCGGAGTCTGAATCCGAGGGGGAAGACAAACAGCTGACAGAGAGCGGGAGAGTGGCTCTGTTGGCTGTGGAGGAAACTGGGGAAGGGCAAAGTCAGGCTGGGCAGAGCAGGGGAGAGGTAGAGCAAGGGAGAGGGGGTTCAGATGAAGACCAAGGCCTACCTTCTCCTCATCCTAGGGCACGCAGGGAAGAATGGAGAAGAGAGCAACGTGGGTTGTGTGGCTTACACAAGGGCGGAAAGAGCCCCGATTCCCTTCACAAGGCACACCTGGGGATGGAGTTTAAAGGAGAGGCAAATGGGAGGGGCCGTTGTCAAGAACAAATGCTGAATTAATTGTGTTAACTGCTTTATCTGAGTTCCTGGCATCCTCCCAACTGGTTTGATTTACTGCGTGCTACTTCACTTCTGGAACTCCTTATCTTGCTTTCCCTGCCGGATTAATTACTTTATCCTGCCTTGTTGAATTTATATTTGGAAGTTTTCTGCTTATAACGCTTGGACTGGAGTACTTTCAGCCAAAGGTGTTACAGACTTGTGAGTGAGTTTTTCTCCACACTGGAGAGTAAAAGGGACATGGGGGCAAAGTTGAAGCTAATAAAGGGAATCATTCTTATTCTCTGGCTGTGTTGCCTTTGTGCCACACCCTGGATCATCACAGATTACTACTGCTACTACAACTGTAGCCTACAGGATCTATCAACCAACTAAATTAAAAAAAAATACTTTTGAGTACTCTATTATGGATATTTTTGTATTTTTCTGTGTCCGTTTTTCTGCTTTAGAATATTCTACTTAAAAACTCAGAATAGAAACAGGTTACAAATTCAACCAATGTTGAAGTTAGCTGTGATTCACCACAACCTGCAGCTTGCACAGTTGCGTGAAGTTCCTTCGCGGTCAGAATTAATGTTTCGCCTCGAGACAGATTTGAACAAGGCAGACTCTTGTTCGCGTTCTTGATCTACTTCCATCAACCGTACACACAATTCATAGCTGGCTGAGAATCACCTCTGGGGATTCCACGCTCTCATTGCATCAGTTTGAGAGATGCCGGATGGAGTCATTAAGTGAAGAAGTCCTGGGATTACGGCATTCACTTCCACCCTATCAAAATGTCCTTTCCTTTTTTTTTAAAATTAGATTTAATGTTAAATTTTAAATTTAAATAATTTTATTAAAATGATCATAATGTAAAATGCAGATGAAAATGGAGATGGTGGGAAAATAAGAAAAGGAGAAGAGAGGTATAGGGGCAGAACCATCTCCTACCGGCTTCCCACCGCCCAGTGGGGTCACATAGGGCTGCCCTCCTCCGGGTGCCATCGGCTAGACAATATCGGCTGGTGGCCCCCAGATTGAGGGCGTTCTCGGTGGCCGCGCCGACCCTCTGCAATGAATTACCCACTGAGCTCCGGTCAGCCCCTGATCTCCGTTCCTTCCGCAAAGATCTTAAAACCTGGCTTTTTACTCAAATCACCTGATCTGGTTGGGTTTTTTAGTTAACTGTGGGATTTTAAATTGGATTTTTAATGCTATTTAGTGATATTGTTTTTATTGTCATTTGTACTTGTGAGCCGCCCCAAGTCCTTCGGGAGAAGGGCGGCATATACATTTTAATAAAATAAAATAAATAAAATAAATAAAAGGGGGAAAAAACAGGATCAACTTCCAGGTTTTTTTCGGTGCAGTAAAGTACAAAATATAATTGCAACCTCAACTTTTTACTTTACCAATTTAACAAATGCCAGCCATTATTATAACTATATTAATCGTTAAAACCCAGCATCAAGGATTCAGGTTTTTTTTTCTGTCACAAGCACAAAGTCCAGAAACGGTTTCCATGCAAAGCTGGATATACCAAATGTTACTTCCTGACCTATTGAGAGATGTGGAAGTCAAAACCACAGGTCTCTGGAGGTCTCAGATTGGGAAAGGTTGGGCCACATTATGCCTGCTTAGGTCCTCCTGCTAGAGCAGGAGGGCTGGACTAGACGACCTCTAAGGTCCCTTCCGACTCTTTTCTTTTCTTTTGATATTTTTGTATTTTTCTGTGTCCATTTTTCTGCTTTGGAATATTCCATTAAAAAAAACTCGGAGTAGAAACAGGTTACAAATTCAAACAATGTTGGGGGAGATGCATATTTTTATGGTTAAGAGGACCGAATAGGAAAGTACCATATCCCTAAAGCAACACAGTGAATATTTATTGTTAAGATTCTCAAACCCCAATATAACAAAAATGTTTGCAGAAATAATTACTCGCTCATCTCAGGCATACAAGCAAGTATAACCTTTCCAGGCCTTCTGAGAATTTGCATTCTCCCAACTTAGTTAATTACCTAATAAATCGTGTTTAATGTTTGGACACATGTTCCTAGAGATATAAACTATGGTCTAAATCTAAACTAATTTTTTCCTCATGACTTTTCCCGGGACAAATTATTTATTTGTTGATCCTGTGTCCATCTGGAAAGATGTTTCTGGAAATCAGCAACTTCATGAAACTGCCTTTCACTTCGGCCATGTCGTGTGGGGGAAACTCACTGGAGAAAGCAATTACTGTCATTGACTTACAGTTCATTTAGTGACCGTTT